AGGAGTAACATGATCAGAGGCTCCAGAATCTATCCACCAATCACCCTTCTTTGAAGTGGAAGTTGTTGCAAAGTTGGCAACATGAGCATGATTTTTGAGTTCAGGATAGTTCCTAGCAAAATGTCCAAAACTATTGCACAATTGACATGCATTAGCATGGTAACTATTATACCTATTGGAGGAATTCCGATTATTTTTCCCTCCACGGGCTCCATGGTTTCCTCGGGCTCCTCCACGACCCTTTGGGGCATACCCATTAAATTGGCTGTTGGTATAAGGTGAAGCTGTTGAGTTAGGCTTAGAAGTCCGATTGAAGTGTGCTTGAACTCCATCATAATGGCCACCTATCGAGTTCCAAGCATTGAAGCCACCATAGCCGCTAGGATTTCCAACAGTACGAGGATGCACAGAAGCAAATTGTGCTGTAATTGGTGCATTGGTATCACCAACAAGAGCCTCCTCTCTTTGTAGAGACTCTTCATGGGCTAATAGTCGATCTTTAAGTCTTCAAATGACAATGGGGGCCCGTCACGGGCTCGAATTGAGGCCTTGAATTCCCTGTATTCATGTCCCAAACTGTTAAGCAAATAAACTTGAATGTCAGAATTGTTTAGGGGTACCTTTTCTACATTTCCAATCCGATCAATTAGGATTTTTATAGTGCGAAGATACTCTGCTACCGCTCTACCTTCACACTGAAGCTTCTGGAGCCTTTCTTTCAATGCATTAACTCTCGTACGAGAGCTATTTGCATAAAGTCTTTCAAGTATCACCCAAGCTTCATGCAAGGTCTCTACACTAGATACATATGGGTGAATGGATTTTGATACTAAAGTCATAATTGCGTGTTGTATTGATTGATCTTGCCTCACCCACAAATCATATGGTGAGTCGAGTATGTCATCTTCTGGAGGACATGGCCTAGTACCCTGCAAAAAATCAGTCAGTCGATAAACTTGGAGCAATGAGGTAAACTGTCAGCTCCACATGGTATAATTATCGGAGGTGAGTTTAACTGGGAATTGAGCAGCAACAAAGGCTATGATATTGTTTGAACTGGTACTGGTATTGATAACAGCGGGTGTGGTAATCACGGTTTTGCCTGAGCTTGACTTTTGGGTTTTGGAATCGGTGGTTTTGGGTGTTTCGTCGGCCATGGTTGTTTGATGTTAGTCCCGCTTGAGACCGTGGCTCTAATACCACTATTAAGACAGAAACTTGAGAATGAAACTGATATCTTTTATTCACAGAATTGAGTATCCTATATACACAAGGTCTGCAGCAGTTATTTATGGAAATTAAAGATATACAATAATAGAAAATATATACAAATAAATGTGATTGATATCCTGCATATAATGCTGATTATATTTGCTGTAATTAGTGCAGATTCACGAGCCAGATTCATGAGCTGTGTTGACAGGATGTGTTTCCATATAGCAGAGTGGAGATGAAGAAGAAAGCAAGGATTTCCTGCAGTTTCTGTTGAAGTTGAAGAATGAAAGCGATCCTAAGACCCCTCTCACCATGACCCACCTCAGAGCCTTGCTCATGGTAAGTTTGTACTTTCCCCGTATATCGTGGTAATTACTTCAAAACAAGGTAACGTTCTCTGGACGGACGAAGTGCTTCGACTCTGTACTTTCCCTTCCTCCACCCTGTTAATTGTGTTCGTTTAAAAAAGAAACAAAAACGTAACAGTTCCGTTAATTTGACCTACGGTTAAAAGGATGCCTTTTTTTTTTTTTTTTTTTTTTTTTTT